ATTGACTTGTCAATATTTTTTTCCCCGCGCCTCAGAGCAAAAGAGAGAAATGATTCAAATTCTATATTTCTCAACATTTGTATACAGTGGTCCCTCGTTTATCGCGGGTGTTATGTTCTAAAAATAACCAGCAATAGGTGAAATCCGCAAAGTAGTATCTTGGTTATCTTCTTCAGAGTCACACTGCTAGCGATCGACGTAGTGATTCTGTACTGTACAGGAGAGACGGCATGGAGGAGATCGACAATGGTCTACAGTTGATCACGACTCAGAACACAATGTGCTGTAAAAAAAAAAAAGCATGCAAAATTGCACTAAAAAAAATCCACGAAACAGTGCAGCCGCGAAAGGTGAACGGCTTTATAGCGAGGGACCACTGTAATTTTGAAGGTAAGTCACAACATACCCTTCGTAAATACTAATCTATAGAAACCCTTACCAGCAATCATTCATTTATTTATTTTTTTGTGGATTCTTTTCACGGTTTGTTGACATGCTGTGTAGGTGTGTACTTGACTAGCTGATATTGACAAAATGGGGGAAACCTTTGACTATTGTTCACCTGTAGTTTGAATGCTGAACATTCCCATTTAAAATCATAAGAACTGACACTATACAGAGATGTGTTTCTGAATGTGAACGATGTGTCTTCTGATTTTGGAATGCAGTTCTGCTTGTGTTGAGTGATGTAAACAACCAATTGATCTACACTCTTCAAAAGTCAAAATTGATCATTTAATGTTTTTATGACACAGCAATGGTGAGTGTTCGCACCCTCCACTCTTTGTAACTTAACACGATCTTACCGTTTTCGTGTTTTGGACATGATTTTGGAGTCCTTCGCAGTAGCGACTGACCGCAAAATAAGGCTACCGGAAATGTACAACCCTACACCCGGTCTTAAAACAGGAAGTTAGCATTTTCTTGTGCACAGGGTCTATTGGAAAAAAAACAGATTTCCAAAAGCACAAGCGAAGTGTTTCTAGGGAGACAATAACCCGACAGACCAGTTGCAGGAAAACAAAACATGGTAGGTGTGTTTTATCATCATTCATTTAATACTGATGACGGATTTTTAGGCTAATAGTTAGGCTAACACACTTACCTCTCATCTTTTCTTTCCTCACAAAACCGATAGATCCTCCACTTCTTTTAAGTGTCTCCCAGTGCAATTCTTAGCATATTTTGGTTCCTGCAACTGGTCTGTCGGGTTATTGTCTCCCCAGAAACACTTCCCTTGTTATTTTGGAAATCTGTATTTTCCTATTTCTGTTTTATTTTTTCCTTTTTCCGTTGTCATTTTTCATATTTCCATTGTGTTTTGTGTGCTTTTGCTGCGTTTTTCTTACTGCTGGTGTTTTCTTAAGTTGCAGTCCGTTTGGCCTCTCAGGGCCACCATACTCCTTCCTTTTTTTTTCCCGTTTCAGTTTTTGTACTGATAAACTAGATGTTAAGCTAAATGGCTACTATATAGCTTTGTAGGATATACAATGATTTTTTTTCTCCATTTAAGTCTTAACCAAAACAGCAGTTAAGCATTACAATGTTAACTTAATATAAAAAAAACATTAGATATTAGGTCAACTCCTCTGATGAGTAAGGAATATAACTAAATATCTTTCTAGTAGTAGGTTATTGCAATAGACTATGAGGGTAAAGTGCTATAACAAGATATAAGATTTATGAAAATACACATCAACCAGGTGATAAAAATGCCAAAGTGCTCTGCTTTGCTTTCTTTAAAATACTAAAAAGGACATTTTTCTCCAATATAGCACAAGGTGAAATCTGATTTTAACCATTTTTAACCATCAGTGTCTTAAGGTAATATCACTATTGACTTTGGGACATAAAAGTTATGTTTTATTATTGCAGTATGCAATAACTGTTACTGCTACAGGATAGCAAATAGTAAATTGAGGAGTAAATTGAGACCATCACCACAAAAGGTGTATATGGCTGTCCTATACAATGATAGTGTGATAAGGTTACTGTCTGTGGCATATCTCAGGCCTGTCCTGATTTGATCGTATTTCTTTGGTCTAGTTGGACTCTATAGAGAGGATTATTGGAGCCCTGCTACAGTAGGCCTTTCAAGCTGTGGTTCAGGCTCCAGAGGACTAACAACAAGTCAGACGCTGTCAGATCCCAACTAGTGAGGCCAAGGGCTGATGCTTTGAAGTGGGCTATGCAATTCTCATCTGGAGGGATCAGATTGAGGGAGAAAAAAAGACGAGGAGAGGTGCAAAGCTTGAGCTAAACAGGCAAGTTGGGTAGGCCTCAGAAGCTGGTGAGGTGGTTTTCACTGAATCAGACCTACGTGGATGCTACATACCATCAAAAACATACGAAATTCCTGTTCATTATGCAGCTTGTGGAATACACAAGTATGATTTGTTTTTAAAACGGAGTGCAGAGCCTTAAAATATGCAAGGCATGTACAAAGAGAATGGAAAATCAGATTACACTAAAAGTTTTTAAAGTTGGCGGGAGGACACAAAAGAAATCATAATAGTTCTGGTTCTGCAATCAAAGCATGCTGAGAAAAATATATGGTAAGAAAGAAGGTTTAATTTGTGCTGATTGTTCCTTGCATAATTCTTCAAATCCTCTTAAAATCAGTATGATTTTCTTTTATTATTATTATTATTCTCCATGTAGCTTGGTCATGCAAATGCTGCTGACTTGGGAAGATTTAAGGCTAGACAGTGTTGTCTAGCCTTAAATCTTTAAATCTCTGAGCAACATCACTCCCAAAAAGTAGGTTGTCAGGATATGCTTCTAGATAAGCCGAAATTATATTAATTGTGTGGAGCCAGTAGATGACGAGAGAAGACAGTAATGTAAGAAAACAGGAGGATTTGACGACTGTCGAGAAACTGGAGAGAAGAAAACAGTCTTAGTATGCATAGTTTAGGTTTGGAGATCACAGTACATGCACTGGTGTGTGCTTTCATGGTTTTTACTTGGGCATGCATAATTTCCTATTATAATGTAACAGGCAGATACTTTTTCCAAACTCAACATAAACAGTCAGTTTTTCAATCACAGCTTTTAGATTATCTGTGTACTTACCCAGCACAATAGCATAACATGGAAAAACTAACCAGTTTCTACTTGTTCACACACACACACACACATACAAATGGGTGCACACTTACAAAGACATTCCTTCCTAATATGCTCCCTCTGATTTTAATCCTTATCTCTTCTAGTCTTATTTCTTATGCTAACTGCAATGCTATCACTGAAACTGAATCTTTAACAAAGGGGTTTATGGATGCAGTCCAGGCTTTCGATTTCTGTGAAAACATTTGGCCCTTACACAATAGTAAAAGCAGATGTGCAACCCACCATTGGAATTAAGCGATAATATCAGTCAATCAGTCAACATGCACGCACACAGTGTGCACAGAATTATGACGGTCTCCCTTTCTTCCTGTCTGAGGTAACCCCAACCATGTTTTTCGCGTCCCACGGGGAGTGCCTTTTATCATGCGACATGGTGGTGTCGGCAGTATTGGGGGGAGTCGGGGAGCGGGGGTGAGGTGGGGTGGGGTTGTCAGACAGCTGTTTCCCATCAGCACTCAGTCAGGCGGTCGCAACCCTCCTCAGAGGATCAGAGGGGGCAACGCAGTGAAGTGAGTCTCAGAGATATGCGTGGGCCAAAATACTTCCAATTAGAAGGTCATCCCAATTTGTTCTCTCATATCCACGGTGCTTATCAGGCGTCTCGGGCCCACTCGGTGTTATGCACAAAAATACGAAACCAGAGGTGAATGGGTTGTTGCTGCCATATGGGAGTGATTATGCGTTTTCCTCATTGTTTCCTGTCTTTTCACCCCAGCTCTACTGAGTCTTGCTGCTCTGCTTGGTCTGCGTTGGCTCGGCTCCCTCGGCTTGTTTCAGGTTCTAAGCCCCTCCTGTAATTTAAGTCCGGGAATGCTTAACAACAGTCACTCATGCACAGGCGTCTACATTAGCACATGTTGTTCACCTCATCAGTGGCAAAACTGTGCTCACCGATATGGAATTAAAGTTGTTTTTCATCAAAAGAACTTTCTTTTTTGTTTCTCTTCTACATATCCTAATTTCACTTTTATTCTTGCTGTAATTTTGCAAATGATAGCCCATTCAATATGATGCAAGAATCTAATAAAAAAAAAAAAACTGCTGCAGACACCACAACATAATGTCTATGGTGGAGACAGGAAAAAGCTCTCTCTGACCACCAGAGTTCACGCTGGAGTAGATGCGAGTTTGCTTTGTCTCTGATACAGCTGGTGGCTGGAAGATCTTTTTCTGCACACAACCTAGTCGTTGTGGAAAGATGATAAATTGCCGTGGTAGCTTTCCGCCTCCTGCTAGTGTAGGCTGCTGGATCCCACCTTTACTGCAGAGCTTTATATCTTCTCATCTTACTGTCAGCCATTAAGAACAAACTTTCTCAGCAGCTAGTCTCAACAGACCCTGCATGAGCGAAGGAGTAGTCCCACGAGGGATCCTGACAGGCTGATAAATGAATACAATTTAGATGAGTGGATAATACTGTACTAATATTATCAGATTACTAACAGTGTAGCTCTGTAAATTTATTTTGTGTAGGTGTTTGTGTGTCACTGTCAAAAAGTGGGATTGACAGAGCTAGTAAACAATCAACTGAAACTTGTACGGTTGTGTTTTTGACATGGGAAGTCAAGTACAAAATATCCCGCTGGTCAAGCTGTTAAAGACTTGGTATCGCAGCCCAGTTCTGCCAACAAGAAAAGGTGTTAATATTGTTACCAAGAGCAAAAAAGCAGCTGAAGTCCAAACTATAAAATTTGCACCTTAAAAATATTAGCTGCTAATGCCACATCACAAAAGTCATTGAAATAGACTTTTTGACACACTAAACACAGCCCCACTTGAAGACACCAATGATACGAGGAAGTATTCACCTTCTTAACATCATTAAAGTCCTCTCTGTTTTCTGTTCTGCTTGTCTGTGTTTTTTCCAGTCTTACGTGACGAATTTAGGCAGAATCCTGTTGACGTTATGGTTGCAGTGGGTGAGCCCGCGGTCCTGGAGTGCCAGCCACCCCGTGGACACCCCGAGCCCACAATCTCCTGGAGGAAAGATGGCTCCAACTTAGATGACAGAGATGAACGCATAACAGTAAAAGCAGCTATTTTGATTTCACACATTTCAACTAATGATAATTTATACTGTTGTTGTTATATCATTATATTCATGGGAAAGTGCAAGTCATTACATTGGAGATGCTAGAACGTTGATGTTATGTGAAGAACAAACTTTGACATGAAAATTGGTGGGGTTCAAAAAGCCTTTCAGTGTGAAATTCTGATGCTTAGTTGCCTTTTTTGTAACGTTAACATACAAATTAAAGCTCTGCAGGAATTTGGAAAAGCAACCCTGTGAAGTCGCAAGATAATTTTCTTGTGGTCACTGAAACCTTTTCTGGTTCTCATTACCAAAATGCTTGTAGGAATTTTGGAGAGATGATTTATTTGGCTTATACAAAACCTTAACCACAGAGCAGCACATCAGAAAGAAACCAAAAGTGTACATTATACTGTACAGGAAGGAACAGCATTGTGTGCTAATGTTAGCTACTGTATTGATGTATGGTCTTAGTCTAATGTATTAGGTCATGTGGCACGCGGCAGACAGCAGTGATTTTCCTTTTCATGCTTTTGTATACACTGAATTTATTTTGCATTTAATGGCTTCCTGCTCCTTTAACTTTGGAACAGAATCTGGTTTCAACAACTCAGATAGCTGTGTGCGTGCATGTGTGTGTGTCTGTGTGAGAGAGCTGATTTGTTTATTTGAGTCTTCTCTTCCATGCTCCCAGGAACACGCAGGAAATTCAAAGCTCATGTTAGTGTGGAGTGACAGGTAGAGCATCTCTGGGGAACTGTGATGGACAGAGCAGCTATCTCTGATTTAAGAAGAGGAAAGGATCAGAGCCAAGGGGGAGGCTCCTCTGAGGGAAATACAAAGGCTGCTTTTCCCTTTGTACTTACGTGCCTGGCTTCGTCCTCCCTGATCATCTTTTCTATATGGAAATGTGTCTTTGCCATGAGTGTTCTCTCAAAGACATTACTTACTGTACAAAGACCAAAGGAGTCTACCACAAGTGATTCATGGCTACTTTAAACCCTTTTGAGTGTTTCCCTTGTGGCCTTTAGCTGTCAGTTATTAATAGTGATATGCAGATCAAGTTGTGAGTTAACAGTTGGATTGAATTTTATGGATTTTAATTAAAAAGCTGAGTGTCTTCATTGCAGGAAAATACGTACACATCACACTAAGACAGCTAATGTGTTTTCCCTCAGGGTATCTAAGACTGTGTAAAAAAGAAATAGAAGACACCGAGGCACAAGAGGAAGAAAAGCTGAGGTTTCAGTGTCCGAGATGGAGGACTGACAAACCACATTTTCATTTCTTTGCAGTGGAATTTTTGCTAAAAATGAGGAGCGGTCAGTCGAGGAAATAAAAAAGCTCTCAGTCTACTCTTTAATCAGCTGCTAAAGTTACAAGTGCAGTAAACAGAAAAAAAAAGTTGCAGAGCATAAGTATAACATTAGCCAGTGGCAATGGTTAGATCATCTTTGCAATCCTCGAGAAAGACTTGCAGCAAGGGGTAACTCGCAAAACCCTTTCTCCAGGATTTAAATAGGTAATCTCAATGAGCCAAAGTCAGTAAACTCTTTGAAATGTAGAAAAGAAATGAGACCAAATAAGAAATCTTTTAACTCACATTGCACTAGTTTGAAAAAGAGCCTGTGGTATATCTGTCTGTGTCCTCCAGTCCCTCTGCAACCCTGAATTGGATAAGCAGTTAAGAAAATGAGTGGATGGATGGGTTATTCATGAATCATTCACAGCAGCTTAAACACCCGCATTGCATTATGCTTTTAGTGAAATACAGAGCGTTTTATTTTAGTGGCTATAATGTAACTCCAAACATCCAACCCTAATCCAGTGAATACTGACAGGAATGGCTGAATCTGCAATACTAGTTCCCAAATTCCCCCACGTGCCCCCTGTGATTACCAGTGGTTGGCAATGTGCATCTCAAGTACACACAACCACAAGTCACCCCGCAATTTATTAAGTCTTCCTCTTAAAACCGCATGATTTACAACAGATTTGAAATGGTATCCACTCTTAGGCCACTCTTGGTCTTTTTATTTTTCAATTTTTTTATTTATTTGGTGGACAGTGTCAGCCGTTTGTGGTGGAAGGTTAGCCTGGAGGAGGGTGACTAATAAATGAAAGGCTGCTGGTTTTATCCCTGCAGCAGCAATTTAATGATGTATTCCATCTGTAAGCTTGAGAGTTGAGAGTTCCTACGGAGCCAGGTGCTGTCTGGCATGTTGCTGAATTACTCAATGGACGCAGCTCTGTAGGCAGCCTTGACCTCTGAACTGTGTTAAGAAATGGCAGCGCTGCAGTGTGTGTCGTGTCCCTAGCAAGAATGCATGAATAGTTTGAGCAGGGAAGAAGCAATCTAAGAGCATAATAACTGGGCTGAGAGTTTAATTGAAGTTGATGCCTGGTTTCACATGTCTGGTTGCAGAGAATGGCTTTGTGTTTGTTTGGAGGTCAGCATGTTTCCCTTCTCCAGTTTCTCATCTACTCACTACTGCTCTGCTGTCACCTCTAACACCAAGCTGCTGCATACTATCAGTAGAGGATCTCACATTCAAAGTACCTCAAAGACATGGTGTGTGGAGGCGTGTGGTGGACAGAAAAGGCTGAAAGCAGTGGGCCACCCCAGTAGCTTACCTGGTAGATCGCGGATTTCTCACAGAGCCTGAGTCCTTTTGTGCAGAGCCTTGGGTTTGAATGTAGGGTGGGCTCTTTGCTGCATGTCATTCCTTCTTTCTCTTTCATGCCTCTGCTGTCTATCTCAACTACATCTACCAAATAAAGAAGAAATGCCAAAAAAAATAAACATGAATGTGTGGGTGTGCCTGTGCCTGTGTGTGTGTGTGTTTGCCGATATGCTTAGAGAAAAGTTTGGGAAAGGCAAAGTAGGCTGACAGAACATCTAAGGAGTGTCTCTACAAAGAGGCAGTCCCTTTGTTCCCAGGGTTCTCATGTAGTGCTAGATATGAATTATGTAATTTCATAATGGGTGACCTTCTGTGCAGATTGAAAGGCAGTGAAAATTCTATTCCTAAGCAATAGAGAGCCAGATCAATGCGCACAGGTTTACACAACACCATGCACTTCTTTCTAAACGAAGGACAGTCAAAGATGTGACCATGCAAAAGACGGCATCATACTTTCAAGTAAACATGTCAAAAAGAAAACTTGAGCTGAGGCATATTTTATCACAGAATACACAAATAGCAACCAGATTAATACACGCTTTATGGATGTGATACTCTGTTAGTAATTCACAAACACGGTACACATACAGATGGCTAGATCCTCCACAAATACAGCTGTGCAAATATTGATTTTTTTTTCCTGTTGTCTTTTAGATTCGGAGTGGCAAACTAATGATCACCAACACTAGGAAGAGTGATGCAGGGAAATACATCTGCGTTGGAACCAACATGGTGGGAGAGAGGGAGAGTGAGATTGCCGAACTCACGGTGCTTGGTAAAATATGCAGCTTTTTGATTGCATTTCACAATGTTGCAGTACTTCACTTAGTCTGAGTACTTCCAGTTCTCAGTGCCTTGCCAGTCCACTGTACAATGCTTTTTTCACTGGGGTATAATAACCCATTAATTATTTTGATTATGCAGCTCTACCACCCAGTCTACCAGCTTTAGCAAATTTCCCCACTGAACATGCACTGAACATCTAACAGTGCTACATCTAATGTTATAACCTTTCAGTATAAGAGCTCCCTATGGTACTGTGCTTCTTCTAGTGCCGCCTCCTGCTTCTAGCCTCTATTCTCAATCCCCCACTTATTTTCCCAACACTTTCCATTAGAATAGAGCTCTTATCTGTACCACATCGTTAGATGGCCTTGGTTCAGGTTGCAAATATACAATGTAGTGGCTCAAAGAGCCTGTCAAATAAATGTGGAAAATCCTGCTGAATGCAGAAGCATATTAACATATGCTGTTTTCCGGGCTGTACAAAATAAATGGCTTATGGAGATAAATATATGATTATCTATAGAATTTCTTTATGTTTCACAGTCATGTCAAACCTGATTTTATTGTATTTATTTAATCCCAGCAAATAATAATTTATACTTATTTGGGTGAAAAGTTGAACCACTCAAAAATAACATACTGATTATAAAAGTTTGTTCAAAACTCAAATGTACCTCAAATGATCTGAAAAAGTTATTAATATGAAGGACTTTTTCTGCTTGTTCAGAGGGGTTAAAATCAGATGACTTTGGAAGAAAGTTCATGACAGACAGCATTTCATGGTCTTCTACTACAATAGGCCTTGAAAAGCCATAACAAGCATTAGATCCCATTATTCTGCTGTAAAGTGAATCGCACTGCACAAGCATTTGATCTTTTCCCCAAAAGTGTTTTGTAGACAGCTACTCATTCTCTGTGACTGCCTTGAACCAGAACATTTCACAGAACTTTTGCTGGTTGTAGTCCTGCTTTCTGTATCTCAGACAAGTTGCTTTGCAATTTTTAACTTTTGCAAAACTTGATGTATTGATGTTCTGTTGGTGTGCATAGTCCTCAGTCCAGCCATGATATGATGCAGAGGAGAATAGAATAACAATCTGACTTCTGACGCTTCAGCTGTTCGAACACGCTGTTTCCCACACAGAGTACTCAGTAATAAACTCCATCCATCCATCCATTCGCTTCCGCTTATCCTTTTCAGGGTCGCGGGGGGCGCTGGAGCCTATCCCAGCTGTCATAGGGCGAAAGTAGTAATAAACTCTCAACCATATTTATAATAGGTGAACAATTTACTTGGGTGAGCCTTTGATGAGTAGATTAAATCAGTCTGAGTGCCGACTGATCCCTGCTTCAAAGGATTTGATATGATCCAAGACTTCTTTCCATTTTTGTCAGCTTTTCAATACTCATACCTTCTGAGCCCACAAACACGATGAATTTGATCCTGTAATGATGTTTGTTCCTCTTACTACTGTGCTGCCATATAGAGCGTCCGACCTTTGTGAAGCGGCCCAGCAGTGTAGTGGTGCTGGCAGAGGAGAGTGTGGAGTTCAGCTGTGTTGTCCAAGGAGACCCTGTTCCCACTGTCCGCTGGAGGAGAGATGATTCTGACCTGCCTAAGGGCAGGTAACACACAAAAACCCTCTACATTCAGTAACTGACCATGCAAACATGGTGTTTCCACTTGTTCTTTCATCTCTTGGGCATGTGTGTGTGTGCATGTCTGTCCTGCCAGCAGATTTGAAATCCTAGAGGACCATACCTTGATTGTTCGCCAAGTGACCTCTGCAGACGAAGGCTCTTATACATGTGTGGTGGAGAACATGGTTGGGAAGTCTGAAGCGTCTGCCACGCTCACTGTACATGGTCAGTACAACCCAGCCTTCACACTTAATGCTCTACAATCGAAGCACCTTCTTCTCATGTATATGCAGTCCACATATTTTTTTTCAAGGCCTCAGGTTTCATTTTAATGGATGAGAAGTGTTTGCCTAAGAGTTGTTCCTAACAGGAGACCTAATCCTGTGTCATAGTGTCACAAATTTACCAAGAAATGACTTTTACACAGCCGGGCGTTCAGCATGACCACGCTTTCATCATTGTGCCTTCTTGTACCGAATAATTGTTTCTAGGGTGTGTTTGTCTTAAGGCCTGAGGGTCATATAACAACAGCTAAGAAGGCATAATAAAAGTTTGTTTGTGCAAACTAAAATGAGCATCAGAAGGAAATGTTCGTGACTGCAGGAGCTAAATTAATTTGGTCTAAGCTGTAATGCCACAATGACACCCTTAAGTTCTTAAATCAATGACAGGAAATAGGCAGTGAGATATCTCTCATGGTTGCACATGCAAACCAGTACGCATAAATACACACATACAGAGAAGCAGTTGGTGACATATACTGCAAAGACAGTAGGACTTAATTAAAGACGAGCTGGTTACATGCTGGGGACTGACATGGTTCCAATTACATTGTCTTCCTCCTCCAAAAACCTGAGAAAATGAGCATCGGGGGGGCATAGCTAAATTTGGCAAACAATGAAAAAGACCAGGAATACAGCATTTGATGTTGTATTACTAGATTAAAAAGATAGTTATTTTAGTGAATGCATGTTTCATATTAAAAAAGAAGAAAAGAAAAAAAGCCCAACCTCTGTATGGCTCAAATCATAGTCACAACCCTAACCACAGAATCATTTTTACTGACCTAGAACATTTGGTTGATATTAAACAATTGCCATTATAAACAGTTGTAGTAAGCCAAGGAGCTTAGTCATAATAATTTTGCACAAGTTCCAAGTATGACATTGTTCTGGAATTACTAAATTAATATGTATTTATTCTGCCTGTATTACCTCTCTCTACTTTTCTCTCTCTCTCTCTACTCTAGAGATGTGGATAGATATGGCTATTTATAGAGAGGGTGCTTAAGCCATGCTTTACCACAGTATCCACAGCAGTGTAGCACTGTAGTTCCAAAAGCAGCTGGTTAGCAAGCAATCCATTGCACTATAAATCTAGCTTTGACATCTTAAGATTTCCAGTGTTTCCCATCTACAAATCCATGTTTGTTACTGTGGAAATTTTACAGTAGCTCCTACTTTTCCCCTCTATCCAGACACAATGCTTCATCCGCATCTCACCCTTTATGAGTTTTATGTCCTCATTAACCAATTGTACGTCTGTTAAACTATGCCTCTAGGCTGGCTGGCTCTGACTCAAACTGGCAATTACATGTGTTTTTCACACGTCACAGCCAATAAGTCTGCTGCACATAACTGGGGATAGACAGCCTGCTTTACTCTTTAACATCTGTGCTTTTCTTCCATTTCTTTAACGAGACATTGTGGGGGGTAACCTGTGTCACTTGAGATCCCTTTGAGAACACTAATCATATTTAAAAAAAAATCATACATCATACATCACACTTTATAAAAATAGAAGAGAAATAATAGTTTTGAAATGCTACTAACCACAATGATGAAGAATAACTGGAAGGATTATTGAATTGGCCTAGTGTGCACAGTGCAGGGTACCGAAGGGGCCAATGAGTTCCTAAGTAAGATCTTTTCATTTAACGTGACCAACAATGAAATCAGTAAAAGAAATTAGACAACTAGCTTTCACACACACACTACAGTCTTTCTGCATATTAGCGCAAATGTCAGAAACAGTCCAATCAAACATTAAATAGACCTCAACCTACCATGTGTCCATGTGATGTCCGCTGTTGCATTATTTTGCAGTGTGAAAATAGCTTGTATTATAGTCTGGTGAAATCACGGCAAGCAAGGCTGTTCTTCTGTCTGCACGCTCTACCCACACAGCACCATCACATAAAGCAGACAGAGCATTTCCTAAAGTAAAGCAGGTCGTCTCTTATGGAGCACCAACAGGGAGAAAGTGTAGCTTTGGACACCTGATGTGAACTACAGAGAAACTAAATGATTGCAAGCTCATGAACAGAAATACACAAACCAGCCACGGAGAGACAGAGCGAGAAAGGGAAAGAGATAGAGAACAACCACAAGGTGAAGCAGAATAATAACAAAGCACCTCTTTGACAGTTTATTTTGGAAGTCTTGCACATGTGATCAGGTGCCTACAGTTTCATAACCCTTCAATGAACTGTAGAAAAAAAAATCTTTTAAAACTGTCCCTGCATCATTGCAATTGTGTGTGCATTGTGTGTATTCACCCTGATTATTCATTGCACTGCTTTTTTGTGTGTCTTTTTTCCTTGTAGTCAATACTGGTAAGTTGTCGTCCATCCCTCACCCACCATCAGACAGCAACAAGAACTCATGAGTCCCTGTCACTGTCCTATCTTCACTGTAATTCCATCCACCACTACAGTATGTAATTCATGTTATGTGTGGGTAAATGAATAAAATATGTAAAGCTTTTCTCACACACACACACTAATGTTATAATGCTGAGAATGATAAAAAATGTGTAATGCTGACAGGTAATTAGGACCTCTCTTCTTCTGCAGTGCCCCCGGCTTTTGCCATTCGTCCCAGGAACCAGGTGGTGGCAGTGGGCAGGACGGTCACCTTCCAATGTGAAGCTACTGGCAACCCGCAGCCTGCTATTTTCTGGCAGAGGGAGGGCAGTGAGGTGAGACTGACCCTTAGTCTGTCATCACACTACTAAATCACTGCACAGTGTAAATAAAGATAATGAATGGCTAACTGTGATCTTCATCTCCCCTCTAGAGTCTTCTCTTCTCCTACCAGCCACCGCAGCCCTTTAGCCGGCTGTCCGTCTCCCAGATGGGCAGTTTGACCATTACCAATGTTCAACGTAATGATGGCGGCTTTTATAGCTGCCAGGCTCTTAACATCGCTGGCAGCGTTATTACCAAAGCGCTGCTGGAGGTTACAGACTGTGAGTAAAAGGAAGTGGTGATGGAGGGCAAAGGAGGGGACTTTTATGTAGCTCTTTTGCAGCTTCATTCTTTTGTCTTTTGGCTAAGTGGACTACATTGTGGCAGCAGTCTTGTTTTGTTGAGCAGGTAAATTAAAGTACAGTTTTGTTTTGGCTACAGACGGCAGTAATATGGGTGTGGTGGTTTGCCTTGGCTTCAGTCAGGAGAGGGATTTTATGAGATATTGTTCACATGTTGGGCTCAGAATAGTTGGTTTCTGCGGTGACTGTCTATAAAGAGTGTCTGTACTTACAGCGCTGTGCAAAAGTTTTGAGCCAGTCCTCAGTTCTTTATATTTACTTCCAAGGGGTCAGAATTTCTTGTAATATGTTTAAAGTGGTTTTGAGGAGTACCTCTGCAGTAGTTGTAGTAGTAGTAGTTTTTAAAAAAAAAAAAATTCATGTTGGTTGCTTTTCCACAGTAGTTTTATATTTTCAGATGAACACTTATCTGTTTATTTTTATTTATTTGTTGTTAACTCAAGCAACAATATCTGTAAGTCAGGTCCTTTCACAAATGGGGGAAAAAATCCAGCAAAGACCTGACAATGGACCTGAAAGATGTATCTAGCTCTTCAGCTGATCTGTCTACTTTTGGATGAAGCCTCACCAGAAATGATCTCAGTGGAATGGTGGCTGTCAACTAGCCGTTCTTAAGGAAAGGAAACAGGGAGAAGAGGCTGAGATATGACAAATTACATGAGAACCATGCTAAAAATTAGAGGCAACAGATGCAATGATGAATCCAAATTTGAAGGAGGTGCTTGGGAGAAGTACAACAGGAAGTGCTTACAGCCATCTGTAAAACATGGTGGAGGCTCTGTCGTGGTTTAAGTATCTTGTCAAAATGGATGTACTTATGCATAATATGTGCCATCAGATTTTGATCCACCATGCAAAACCATCTGGACAGTGTCTGAGTGGCAGCAGCTTCATTTTTCAGCAAGACAATGATACCACACTGCCAATGCAACAAAAGCATACCTGGATAGAAGAACTTGGGATTGTTTTGGCAATAAACAAAACAAAAGGCAGGCAGTATCCAAATAAGAGCTTTTTCTCATCCAAAGAAAAAGAGCTCATAGAGCCAAACAGTCATTGTAAGATATATTAAATTGTAAGGTAAAGACTCTACTTAAAGACATCACAAGAAAGCTTGCCTAAGAGAGTTCAGGCTGTGTTAAAGACTAAAGGTACTCATGCCAAATATTTTAGCTCATTAGAATTATGTATGTTTGCAAGTTTCAATAAATTGCTTCATGTGTTTCCGGTTTTCCCAGCAACATATAAAGAAATGTGTTTTGACTCAAGACTTTTGCACAATACTATATAAATCTTCTCTTAAAGAAACATTTCCCAACCTGCAATTGTGCAGTAAATAGTCTAAATAAAGATGGCTGCACTGTTCATCATTAATCATTAGTTTGCCTTAACACAACACAGCACAGACTGGTTTATTGTACTCTAGATCTAGAGTTCAGTATATGAGGTTTTTATAGAAATTGGTCTGAGGGACTCTCATCCAAACTATACATGATGAAATAACTATGCTGATTGCCTTAAAAAGCAATTTGAATGTGCTCGGAGGCCTACAAAAGTAATTGCAGACACAAGTAATTGTGCACCTGTGTGGTGATGAATAACTACTTGTACGTCTGTGTGAGTTCTATGTACGTAAATACATTAAAGAAAATAATTGCTTCAGTTTTGAACAGACTGGTAATGCATCTACACATTGAGTGGATCAGTGCACCTCTGTCAGTTGTCGTGGACAGTATTCTGCCCATACCGATAATGTGTCCTGCAGCCACCTTAGTATGAAAGTGAGAGTCTATTCAGTAAAAAGGAGGTGGGCTGTTCATGGGTGTTTTTAGGATTTTTTCCAGCAGTCTGCACAGCTCTACACTCTCACTTGCACATTTTTTTCTCTCCACTCTCCCCTCCCCTAAATTCTATCCATCCTACCACACGCCTCTCATCCCCATTTAGAGTAGTGCATTTGTATGGTAATAACTGGTTCACATTACCTCTGGCAGTTTTCAAGGCACACTTCCATCACCTTTTTTGGAGGTTTTTTTTGTATTTTTTATCTAGAGCCCCTGCTCCCATCCAGGGTTTTTTTTTCAAATGTAAGAGAGCGAGAGAGTCTGTTATCTAAGTTAGACTGTTATTAGTTGGGCTTTGCCGACAGGATTGGATCCGGCTCCAGCAGTACCTACAACCCAATGAACGATTAGTTGCTCTCCGCTGGAGGGGAAAAGTTGATTTCTTTTTCCTCCGCTGCCTGCGCAGCCACCTAAGCTTATTGTTCTCCCTCTTTACCAATTTACCCCTCAATATCTTCCACATCTTATCTGTCTTTTGTTTTTTTCCCAGGCCTTCATTTTCTCAACTATTCTCAGTTCTTATTTTTATTTTTCTCTTTCTCTTTATAACTTTAACATTTTATTAAAATGAATTCCTAATCTCAAATTCTGTGGTGTGCGAGGGGGAAAAATGTCAGCTAAGATCTCACTTGTCCCCCAGCCACTTGCCCATATATATATATTATATATATATATATACATATATATATATACTATATATATATATATATATATATATATATATATATAATATATAATATATTAGTACATGCTGCAGTGTGTGTGTATATATATATACATATATATATATATATGTATATATATATATATATGCTGCTGTGTATTTCCAATGAGACATATCTATAATTAATACATGTCATTTTGTGGTTTAGTCATTTTGTGGTTTAGTCATTCACTTTTCCATTTTTCTTTCCTAGCTGGGTCAGACCACCCTCCTCCTGTCATTAGACAGGGTCCGGTCAATCAGACTGTTTCTGTAGACAGCACAGTAACCCTGGGTTGCCAAAGTGTTGGCACTCCAACACCTGCCGTTCACTGGAAGAAAGATGGTGTGGTGGTGTCTCCTGTGGACTCCCGTATGTCGCTAACAGAAACAGGATTGCTGAAGATTCACTATGCTAAGGTAGTAGATAGTAATACAGCACTTACTAAGAACTCACACTGAGCCAAGGCCACCTGTCAATGTCTGCCTCCTCTGTATCTTCCATCCTTAGCTGGGAGATACAGGTTTCTACACCTGCGTTGCTTCTAATTCCAATGGAGAGGCTTCCCGAACAGCGTACTTGCAAGTTGAAGGTAGGCTATTCAGATATACAGAAAGTCCTGCTAGGTTAACTTTTGCATGATTTTGTTGCTGTCTCACTGGCAGAGTTTGGAGTTGTTGTCCAGTCTGGTCATCCCTCAGACCCTAGCCTGATTCCCAGTGCTCCATCTAAACCTGAGGTGACTGACATCAGCCGTACCTCTGTCACTCTATCATGGAAATCTGGCCCCAGTGGCACTGCACCACCCACCTCTTACCTGATTGAGGCATTCAGGTTAGAGACTTGCAGGGTCAAACGTGTTTTAACGAAGTCATTCTGTTTAACATGGATCAAGCTTGACAAACTATTCCCTGTGTTTGTGTGCTGTCATTTTTGGCCACTCTCTGCAGTTACACATTAGGCAGCAGATGGGTGACCCTGGCAGAGCATGTGAAGGCGCAGACCTTTGTCCTGAGAAACCTGAAGCCTGGAACTGTATACCTCTTTATGGTCAGAGCAGTGAATTCCTATGGCCTGAGTGACCCCAGTCCAATCTCTGACTCCATCAGAACACAGGGTCAGTCTGGATTTTCCATTAGTTTTTAAGCTTTTAAATGCCAGCTTAGCCACAAACACACTGAAATTTTATGCTTCTGTCCTTCCTTTGGTACACACAGACAGCACTGCCACTATGCAGGGAGTGGATCATCGTCACATCCAGAGAGAACTGGCAGATGTTGTTATCCACCTGCGCACGCCAACTGTCCTTTCGTCTTCTGCTGTCAGAGTGCAGTGGACGGTAAGCGAAGCGACTGGCTTGAAGTTAATGTAACTACAGCAAAAAATAATTGCCTTGTTTGTTTTTTTTAAACATGTGGACAGATTTAACAAATGATATGAAAACCAAGGGGTCAGGATGTTAAAATAAAGATTATTGATGCTGGCAAACCTTTTAATTTAGGGATTCTTGACTGAGAATCTAGACTGCCCAGTTTCCCAGCATTTATTAGCAGAGAATAAAGCACAGTACGGAGATGCAAATTTATTGGTCTGCTACATTGCCAATTTGTTCCAAGCACATAAGAATGTCTGATGCATTTTTCTGTGTGGATGCCTCCACAAAAATCTTTAAAAGTATCCCATTTTGTAATACTGTGGTTCAAATGGAAAGTGCTGAGTCCTATGCTGGCTTAATTTTAACCAGAACCTTACTGAATGGAAACCATAAATGACTTCATGTTGAGATTTACAGTGAGAATCCACAGATGATAAAATGATAAAATGCATCACCCTAAAGGAACATTGAATTAACTGAGTTTTAACAGATCTGTTAAAACTGGTAGATGTTTAACTCACATACAAATATTATTGTGAGCCTTTGAATTGAATTTGTTTAGTTTCCGGTGTTCAAAAAGAGTCACATTGTCATGTGGTCTGATATCTTAACGTGTTTTTATCTCTGTTAGGTCGAACAGCAGTCCCCGTACATCCAGGGTTACAAGGTTCTCTACAGGGCGTCTGCTGAGCATGGCCAACCAGACGGGCAGTGGATTGTCCAGGAGTTACGTGCCCCACTTGAGGACGGGGTGGTGATCAGTCAGCTGAAGAAGGGATCCATCTACGAGTTCAAAGTGCGTCCCTTCTTTGACGAGTTCCAGGGAACTGACAGTGAGGTGAAGGTGGTCAGGACACTGGAAGAAGGTGAAGTTTTGTCTTAGACTATCTATAAATACCAAAGAGATAGTGATTTTAAATATCATTGTACATGATCATCATACAATATCAGCGACTCTGTTAATGTCTCCGTTATTAACTGTGTGCTTCTTTGTCTTAGCCCCAAGTAGAGCACCCCAGGGAGTGACAGTCACAAAGACTGAGGCCAATGGCACTGCCATTCTCATTTCCTGGAAACCTCCTCCAAATGCAGAAGAGGCTGGACTCATTCAGGAATACAAGGTTATTAAAAAAAAAAAGACAGCTATCACTCACTCACTCCTGTACTTGTCCTTCTGCGTCTTGTATTGCAACTAAAATGCAAATTGTATCTCTGTAAGACTTAAGGTGCTCAGTGTGTCCCTCGGGCAATCACTGCCCTCTCATCTTCATCTCACCTTCTTCTCGACAGATCTGGTGCCTGGGTAATGAGAGTCACTACCATGTAAACCAGTCAGTGGATGGCTCCACCTTCTCCGTGCTCATTTCCAGTCTGGCACCGGGGATTCGCTACAGTGTGGTGGTTGCAGCTAGCAATGGTGCTGGACCTGGAGTACAGAGTGACGTTGCTTTCTTTCAGTTAGGTAAATGTTCTGCCAAAATGCAGTGTTAAAATTAGAAAGCCACAGGTCTGAGCACAGCATCAGAATGTTTTAGAGAAAACCTCCAAATGCAGTTGATCAGAGCCTCCTTTGTGTGTTCAGTGAAAAATCTGAATGGAGCATAATGCTGTTCTTAATCTATTCATGGTTAGATTCACATTTTTTATGTTTAAGCAATGCCTTTCTCTCTTTGGGCCCTTTAACTTTTTTTTTTAACATACTAAAGGGTTCAGTTATACTTTCTGCATTTTCTGTACATATGCATGTGTGGCAATATATGTTTGAACCTTCTCCTTTTGTTTTTACTGCTCAGACTCTGCAGGCCAGATGATGGATATCAGCGAGGAAAGAGACACATTGTCCCAGATCTCAGATGTGGTGAAGCAGCCCGCATTTATCGCTGGCATTGGCGCCACCTGCTGGTTGGTTCTCATGATTTTCAGCGTGTGGCTGTACCGTCACCGCAAGAAAAGAAGCGGCCTCAGCAGCACATACACTGGCATCCGCAAGGGTGTGTGCCTTTTCCCTATGTCCTTACTGTACAGTAGTAGATGTAAATATCAATTTCACATCTATATGGGCCAAATGTGCCTACATTTGAAGACTTTTAGGACTGTAGAAGGGATCAAGCCATGACATGTTACCACCACACTGATCATCAATTGTCCTTTCAGTGATATTAAGGAATATTTTCTGTGGCTGATAAGCAGATCACATCAAACGGTCAGACACAAAGACTTCAGAAACAAATTTGCATTTGCAGACATTCAAAGGCTGACCTTTAATTGCTTATTTGTAGAGTGCCATTTCCTCAACATAGCACAGTTCTTGGAGCCACTGGCCTGTCAAACTGCCATTAGCATGTGTGCTACAATATTGCTGATATTTCTTCCCTGTCTCCTGGGTCGCCTGTCACCCTTATTAACCTTCTTCTGGGCACTTGTGTCAGAGGCAGCACTAACACAGGTGGCATGTGGTTATTAAAATACTTGTACACCTTAAACTTTTACATGAGGAGATGCCCATCACACAGCAGAGGTTGCATACAAAGGTCTGCAATGTTATAATGTACTATGGTAGTATCTAATAATTTAGATACTAAAGTAACTAAGTTACAAAAGAGTAAAACTGATTTCTCTTGTCGTTTGTTCCTTCAGTTCCCTCATTCACCTTTACACCTACAGGTATGTACTATGTGCTTTAGCTGCTAATACATGTTAGATTTTATGTGGCAAATGATTGGATATGTTTATTCATATAACATTTGTTTCATAGAACAATGGAGAGAAACATATGTTGTATGGACACATTGCAACAATGTACTTGTCCCATTGGACCGAGTGCATTGGCTTAGGTTAAGTTCATTTGTTTATAATTTTTAAAATATGGAATCTCTCAAACAAGATTAATATCTTTTATATGACATTTTACTACTGGAGAAACTGCGAACAAGTGTTACTAAATCCATTGTGAAGTTGTGTTGTGCTGAGATGTGTAAAGGAACAGACAATTATTTGTGGTGTCTTCATGCAAATTAAAGTAGACAGTTTAACAGACGCAGAAACCAGACACAAACTATACACCCCATGGATAGAAGCATGTAGACTTTTTGCTTTAATTTTTCTTTTTCTTTTTTTGCTTAGACTTCTTTCATGTTTTTTTCTGCCTTTAGCGCTTCATCTTTTTGACAGCTCATCAAGGCTGAATGTTTTCCTCTTTCTCTTTGCAGTTGCATATCAAAGAGGAGAATCAGTATGCAGTGCTGGCAGGTGAGGTATTTTTGTCCCTTTGTGTTGAATAAAAAATAATAAAAGAAATGCACTTGCACAGTGGAACCACTAGGGGGAGGTGTCTTCTTCCTTTAAATGTGCTGTAAGGCACCCAGTCCATGCTCACTCATTACTCATTTATGAAGGTGGCAGGTTGTGATTGACACCTCTGTGATCCTCCTTGTTGCAGACCTGGCCTTCTCAGCATGGGTGAACCTCTAAACCAGCTGTGGCTGCCAGACAGTTGGCCAAATGCATGTGCCAATCATAAGGACTGTAGCATCAACTGCTGCAATAATGGCAATGGCACTAGTGACAGTAACATGACAACATACAGCCGACCAGGTGAGTGCAGTCTCACAAACTCAGACTTAATTTAGCTCTGTTACAAGCTTACATACATATTGCTCAAGTAATAAAAATCATACACCTTGTAGCTGTGCTAAAATTTGTGTTCTTGCATGCTCATGTGCTGCTTTGTTTCACGTACTCAGCCGACTGCATAGCCAACTATGGAAACCACCCAGAAAACAAACAGGAGGGACAGCTTGGGTCTGAGACAGCCATATACACTGATGTGAATCTCTCCAACAAACTCAATGAGATTAAAACATTCAACAACTCCAACTTGTGCTATGCAAGTCCAGGAGGGGATTCAGCAGCCACATATGAGCCTATTCCATATGCCACCACACAGCTCATTCAGGCCAGCATTAAGAATAAGGCAGCCTCTGGCGGCTCAACAGCAGAGCCTCTGGATATACCCTGCTGGAAACAGCCCCCCAATTTGCCTCCAATACCAAAGGAGATGGCAGCACAGATGCAATACAACTTGACTGAACAAAAAAGTAATGGTAGGGAAGACCACCTTGATATGTTTTACACTATTTTTATATAAAAAATAGAAATACAGGTACATTTTTCCTGCTGCTTTGTCTTCAGATCATTTGCAAGGAGGAGAAGGAATGATTCATCCTAAAGCTATCCCCTACAACCAGACCCGAGATCACAGCACAGGTGGCTCACACCACAGTTCAGACAGAGGCAGCAACAGCACCTCAGGTGAAGCCAACAACTAGTCTGTACTGTTTAATATTAATGAGGCAAACCGCAGGACTTTGTTTATCTTGATGTTTATTTTTCATTTCTCAGGGAGTCAAAATCAAAAGAAGGGAATACGGGTCCCAAAGATCCCAAAACATAATGCAGTAAGCTGGGGAGAAGCCCTATCTCCTTCTCATGCTAATGCCTGGGACTGTGATGAATATAGCCTTCCCATGGAAAGAAGGTAGGAGGAAAAGATACTTGTATTTCTACACAGCACATGCTGATAGACAGATTAGCATATCCCCCTCAGTTGCCAAAAGCAATATGGAAGCAATTAGAAGTTTACATAGGCTCATCATGGGCATGAATGCGATGGTAATTTTGGGATTCTAACAACATCTTTCTTTTAACTGTTCTTTTTCCAAGATGGAAAGGTTGTACATCGTACATCTTTAACGATTAAAGAAAACAAGAATTAGCTTTACAATTTAAATTCATTTTGGGTTTTTCTGTAATCCACAAAAGGATAATAGTATATTTACAGGGTCATATACAGTGGGGCAAAAAAGTATTTAGTCAGCCACCGATTGTGCAAGTTCCCCCACTTAAAATGATGACAGAGGTCAGTAATTT